TCTCATGTCTTGTTGAATAAAAAATTTATCCTTTGAACAAGACCATAAAACCTCAGAATCATGCCATAAAAATCATATAATTAATAGAAAATTTAATTTAGTAAACACAAAACTAATGAAAGAGAGCATATATCACCAACTTAATTTTCAATACCCGTTGGCACGTCATCATGCTCTTCGAAGCAATAACTAGCAATAAAAGGTCTCTTTATGTTCCATACAAAAATTCTATTATCACTTAATAACGCGCATGAAGCAATTTCATTAGGATGATTAGGTCGCCATTGAACGCGAGATATACTTGTCATGCTTTGAATAGCGTCCCTTGGTCTCCTACTATCCGAGTTCATATCCCATATCTAAGTAAATAATGAATTAAATAGATTCCATGTAACGAATTGACTATATTATACATACTTTAATTGATTTATCGCGCCCACCGCTAGCAATAGTTCTTCCGTCAGAATGCCAATCTACGGCAAGAACTGAACCTATATGTGCATTCAATTTTCTTTCATGTATAATCGGTTTTCTTATATCCCATTTCTTGAATATATAAAATATTTAATAGAACGAATCATCTTAATGAATTACCAAAATACATATATTTATTTGCTAACCTGGATGGTTCCATTTTCAAAAGCAGCAGCAAAATCATTTGTATTTATTGAGTTAAATTGAACATCACGAACGCTTTCACATTTGCCTTCAAAAGTAAACTTTGCGGGTTCTGGTTCTCTCAGGTCCTAATAATGAAATTAGTTGAAAATTGGTTTAAAAAATTTTTTATTAATTATAGGATTTTTATGGCATGATTCTGAGGTTTTATGGTCTTGTTCAAAGGATAAATTTTTTATTCAACAAGACATGAGAGATTCTTATCGCCCATTGAATATGCTTAGCAAATGTAGTATTGGATGGAGTGCATATGACAAGATTGCATTTGCTATTGAAAAACCAAATGATTCGGAAGACCAGTAAATACTTTTTATTATTTAAATTTAACAGATTATTTTGCTAATTTATAATTAATTATTATCATGCCTTCTTTTTAGATCTAGGTCAATATCATCTCCAAGCAATCAATTTAGGATTATGCAAAGGAGAATATCTCCTATTATCATTGAAACTCGTAACGAAGTATAAATTTGCAGTTTGTTAATGAATAACCAATTGCGTATAATAATATATTATATAGTTAATTTTTTTTTTTTTGTGTTTAATAATATAGGGTCACTATCAGTTACAGCAAAAAACTGGTATTGCCTCTCTTCCCACTTTCGATTACAAATCCTTTTCATACCTTGCTGAAAATTACATAATTTCAAGTCTTGATATTGTATCCGCATGTGAACATAATGCCAAGGTAAATTTGATTTGGTGATAATAAATATTTAGATTATTATTTAATTTGTAATTTTTATTTCATTAAAAAGATTGCATGGGATGTTCAAAGATTTAGAACTGCACAAACCTGGAAAATAATACAGCTTTTATATGGAAATTTGGAACCTATGAACAAATCAGGGTCTACTCATGATGGTATTAAATTTCAATAATTTTTATGTATTTCTGATGTATTTCTATAAAATTCTTTTATTTATTATTTTTTATAAAAATGAAGTTACTGATGAAAATTTGTTAAAAGAGTCATTTCTCACTAATCCTTCAGTGGAAACAAAATCATTAAAAGATTTAAATAAAGATTTAAATACTGTAACGGAAAAACCTAACGAGACTCTGGTTGAAGTAAGTCTTTTTATTTGATGAAATTTTTTTTTATTTTACAGAAAATAATTTGAAAATTCTAAATCGAAAGGATGAAGATTCATTATTTGAATCTGATGGAGAAGAGGAGGAAAATCGGGTGAAAGAATCTGATAATGAAGATGTTCAAAAATCTCCACGTAATTCTATTAAAATGACAAGTCGTACTGTTCAGACAACATATAATTCAACATTATATCGGAACTGGGATAAAGAACCAATGATAGCACAATTATTAGACTATTACGCAGAACAGGTTTTGATTTGAGTTATCCTAATTTTTTATTTTTAATTCATAATTTAATAACAAATAATTATAATCAGGGTGATGTACAGATGTGTGTCACTTTGGTTTTAGTACTTGGTGATAGGATTAAAATAAACCAGGAGAGATTAGAACAATGGTTTTTTTCTTATATTGGTAATTTTACAAGATTATAAGAGTTGTTTAATTATAATAATGATTTTAATGTTCACTATATAAACGTTCGAAATTTTGCCTTTAAGAATTGCTACATAGATTTCAACTCTGGTGTGGAGCTACACATATCATTTCATCTAGCAAAATTTCTTCAGTTGAGATGATGAATCAGGTTTGAATTTATTACGCTAATTATCAAATTTATTGTTTTATTCAAAGCTCATTAGAAATGATAATATATTATCTATCAGCAATCCACAACAATATATACGACGTGTAACAACTGTTTCAGACCAATGCTTAACTATAGAAGTGGATATTGGATATGTGAAAAATGTCGGAAGATGCTAAATCCCTGTTCAATATGGTACGTATCATTTTAAAAATTTTTTTCTCTCATTATATATTATTAATATTAAATCCTTGATCCTAAAGTCATAATACAGTGAAAGGATTATATACTTGGTGTCAAGGTTGCAGCCATGGAGGACACCTTATCCATATGCAAGAATGGTTTTTGGTAAATAATGAATGTCCAACTGGATGTGGACATAAATGTTCTACAAAATTTTTTTATACTTGAAATAGCTTCATTATTATTATTTATACAAACATTGAAAACGAATTTAATTATAATATTTATATTATTATTAAACAATGTGATCGTGATATTTACTAAATTTAATATGATTAAATATATACGAAATGTTATTCACCTTAAAAAATTCAGATGATATTCCTAACTATTACATCAAATGATAATTGGCGGTAATTTCTGTCAGAAAATTACTTTTTTGCCAAAAATCAAAAATTTAGTTCTAATTTTTCTTTTTAATTTTATTCTTTTATCATATTTATCATATTAAATTATTATATTACAAGAATATTTATATTTAGTTAGTTTTATAACTAAATATTTAATAGTGTAGCAAATTAATTTTATATAAGTGTAAATTGATTTACATTTGTTTTAAATAATAAATAAAAGAATCATTTACAAAATACTTTTTTATTTTTTTTTATTTTTTATTTAGAATTAATTAATTATAATATATTATAATAACTTATATTTAAGTTTGTTATTAATTAAAAAATAAAAATTGGTTACATACAGACAAATGTTAAATATCTTTATAATTAAAAAGAAGATAAATTTAAAATTTAAATATTAATAATATTAATCTATTATAATAAAATAGTTAGAATTTCAAAAAAATTATATTTGAATTAAATTTTATAATAATATTAAATAAATAAAAAAGTATATTAATATTATGATCCGATGCAAAAATGTAGATACACGAAAATCATTACCTAATTTTCTCAAATGATAGAAAATCTAACAATTATGTCATTTGAGTGTACAAAAGATGCGAAAGGTTAGATTGTGTTTAAAATTTAAATAGTTTACTAACTTTGAACCTTTTTTTTTTCTCATGGATGACTTAACTAGAGACAAAAATCCGTTGACTGATAATAAACAAAAGATGATTTTTAACGTTCATCAATACTTTTTAAAGGTTTGACAATGCCAGAAGCAACATTATAACTTACCATTACACAAGGAGATTGCTACGGTTCTTGGTATTAGGAAGGCTACAGTTGCGCATGTGGTTGCTGAACAAAATAAAAAAAAATGGAGAATTTCAAACATAAAAAATCCTCAGTCAGCCTAAAAATACATTTGATCATAATATTCCCAAAATTTTATGAAGCTTTATTATGCTCGCAAACACTTCCAGCACTCCACTTTCAACACAAATATTATGACAAAAGCTTGAAGAAAATGGCCATAAATTATCAAAATAGCAGTTACTTCGTCTACTTCATAAATTGGGATATTATTATGGTCATGGTGAACATTGAAATATATTGCATGAATCATCAGTGAATGTTGCTTTTTGTAACCATTATTTACAATATCAGTTTGAAAACTTACAAGGAAAAAACAAAGTTCTGACTAGGCCAAAGGTTTTTTTAGACGAATCGTATTGTCATTTGTATCATACTACGAACTGTACTTGAGTATCAAGTCATGGGATAGTATATTCACCAGGGCGTAGTCTCTTAATTGTTATTTTTGAAGCGATAATTATAATGCGTAATGGTAATACTAATAAGCTTTATAGTGAAGTTATTCCTAATTCACTTCTTATATGAGATCCATCAATAAAACCACCTT